TCATTGAATAAATGGGCTGTAAAGATTGTGGCTGGGGGGGGACTATGGGAAGTGTCTTATAATTTCTCAAGGTTAGTAATATCTCAGGAGAACCACTTAGAAGACTGGGAATCAGCATAAAGCCTCTGTAAGTAAGGAAATAGAGATATTACGCTTGAAATTGAGGGACGTTCAGGCAGTTGTTTAAAATTTTTTTTAAATATTTAAATAAAAAAAAAACCCTCAACAAATGGTAAAATAAGCTCTAACCAGCGTTTGATGCTGACCATCTGCACAAATAAAAAAGGTCACAATTAAGTTACAATTTGGGTATAAATAATAAAATGTAAAAATCTTAAGCAAAAAAACCCACATAAGTGCCAGTGCGTAATTGATTAAAATTTTTATTATTTAAAAATATTAAATAATATAATAAATGTAATACATTTTTTTAAAAAGCCTATTTTTACCTATATAATATAAATAAAAAACAGTACTCTTTAAAAAAACATTTTTGGACTGCAGTTCAACATCAAGCTGCTAAAACTCTAACCCCTCTGCACAACTGTAATGTGTAGAGGCATTGCCCAAACCCCCCCAAAAATAGTAAGCATAAAAAATTTGCTTAATATATGTATTCTGTGTGTATTGCTAATAAATAAATGTTTAAAGCACAACTGTGTAAGGTTCTTTCACTAAAAAAAGGTTCCGCAGACCCATAAAGCCCTAAGCCCCCCAAAAAAGGACAGGTACTTAAATTGACCGAGTTTCTTCCTAAGCCCCGTGGATAAAAATAGGTGCCTTACACCCTAAATCGACCCCTCTACCCTCCATGGGGGTACCTAAATTAATTGGGTCATGCCATAAGTCCTCGGTAGGGTATAGGCGGGATGTCTTAAATTAACCAGGTCACGCCTTAAGCTCTCAGTAGGGTATAGGAGAGGTGCCCTAAATTTTCCAGGTAACAGTGTACTTACCCAGCAAGCTCGAGACGATGCTGGCTTTGGCAGAGCAGTGTTGCAAGTCCATGAACTCCAAGCCCATCTCAGTTGGCACTGCTTGTGAGCCACCTAGAATGGAATTGACATGAGCAAGCACTCAAAGAAGAAAAAAACATTACCTACCTTTCGTAACTGTTGTTCTACAATATGTGTTGCTCATGTCCATTCCATTACCTGCCCTACTGTCCCTCTGTCAGAGTTGCCAGCAAGAAGGAACTGAGAGGGCATAGGGCAGGCAGCAACTGATATACTGACACACGAGCGCGGCACTCAAAGGGGCGCCGCAGCCAATTCTACAGGTATTGCTAAGGCAAAAATCTCCAATGACCGCGCACATGGGTGCGCACACACAGCATGGGAATGGAATGGACACACAAGCAACACATCTTAAAGAACAGCAGTTACGAAAGGCAAGTAACTATTTTTTTCCAGTAGTGGTGTGCTGCAAAGAAAATTCTGGAGTGGTCTAGAGGAAACAACTATCATGTGATTTGCACTGAGTCACTCTCTTGATGACACTGGCATGCCATTCTACTTCTTATAGACTCATCTGAAAACCAAGCAACTACATCTGAGCAAATTTTCCTGTGGAATTAACACACATGGGATGACTGACATCCGTGTAGCATGTTCTGTGCACAAGGATCAGAAAGTGCTTTCAAAACTATAGAGAGAGAATTTCACCTTTTTCTATAATGCACAGCAAAGCTTAATAACAGTCCAAGAAAGTGAATATAATAACCAGATTACACTACTGTGGAATTCCAGTTGGGAAAATCTAAGAATTTCTCCAAGACATGGAGGTTGACACCACTCTTAAAATTAACCATAGGATTGTTACTGACTGACTGTTCAGATCCAGTATCTTAAGTATAATTTGAGAGTTGGCATTTCTAGCAACATAATTCCCCTTTAAACCATTTTGGGATGTTAGTTTGATGTGGTCTTAAAATAAACTGCATCATGAAGGAAACCTGCACAACACTTTCAAAAGACAAACCTGGGAGCTTAAATTCATATCTCTGCTAGACACTAAAAATCACGGACTGAACAGGGACACTGGATTTGTGGTTTACTTCAACAATCTGTAACCCAGTAACCCCCTCTTTTTGTCCTATGACTGCAGAGATGCCAACAGGCCACTCTACCTTGAATGTGCTAAACAATCTGTCCCATTGTGCTATGATGCTCGCTCTCCCAGATATGTAGTAGAGCTCTGTGTAGCTCAAAAGCTTGTGTCTGTTACCAACAAAAGTTGGCCCAATAAAAGATATTACCTCACCCACCTTGTGTTTCTTGAAAGTCTCCAGTCCAAGTACTGACCAAGTCAGATGAATTCATAACCCAGAGTGGGCTGTTTGCAAACAGCCCTTCCCTCTTCACCTTTCTATTTAGCTTCTCCAAGGAAGATATTTATATAAACATGAGAAGTCAGAGCCTTTAGAGTAGAGGACAATCTGACTTTGCCTGATTATCTTTATCCATTAAGGTCTGTCTCCCTGCCTCTCTTGTTTTGAACACAGAATACACCAAGATGGCATACAACTTGGAGAGATGCTTCCACCGGGCAATGATGAAGCACTTCCCTGGGGAAGATGGGGACACGGATGAGGAGTTCTGGATCAGAGTGGATGGGAAACGGGAGAAGAGGAGCCGTCGGACCGGGCGCTCCAGCACTGGCAATGTTTGGACCCGATCTAGAGACCCTGAGGGATCAGGCAGGAGACAGCAACACCTGGAGAATGGAGGGAAACCACCACCATTCCGGGCTACTCCCCGGGCTCCTGTTTCCTCCTCATCTTCCTCCTCTGCGGAGGAACCAAGTGGCAGCACAATGCAACCCCCTCGGGAGGTGGGCACTTCCAACGGCCAAGGCTTCCCTCGCCCACTGCATTATGGTGGAATGCCCAGCCAGGTGCCACACCCTGGCCAGATGGTAAGGACTGGCCTCTGTGGTTTTTCACAGATTATAAATGCAGAGAAGGGCCCGAGAATAAAATTGTCTCCTGTAAGTTCCTAGAAGAATCCCTACTGTATGATCGGAACCTCTTACTGGTGGTGGAACATGGGTTCTCATTTCTCTTTTCCTCCTCCCTTTTCCTTCTTTGTCCCTCTATAGTTTTCTCTGTGTCCTTTTAACCTTCTTTGGTTCACGCCTCCATTCTTCCTTCCTGGTGTGATCCATGCAAGACTTGAAAAGTCCCCATGGCAATGGTAAATAAAACACTTTTCTTTGGTGAGTGGTGGGACTTATGCCCTCAATTCTACAGATTTTAAGCTCAAACATTTTAGCTTTTAGGGTTGCAAAGATGATACAGTTTTGTCTTCCTGAGTCTGCAGATAGACTGCTCAATTGCCTCTGTTGCTACTTATAGCTTCCTAAGCAAAAAACAAGTAAAATGAACAAGACTGCTGCTTGGAACTCTAGTCCCAGAGGCTCATGTGAAAGATGGAGCTACCAAGCATCCTGGTAGGAATTCCAGAAGAGTCTACCTTCTCAATTAATCCAGGCTCTGTGAGGGTCTAGGAATTGTCCTGGAACTAGCTGGTGGGGGCTCCTCTCTAATCTGTCTATTGTTAGCCTCAAGCTAGTTAGGTGTCTGGCAGTTGTATAAAGGCCTGGTCTGTAGGATTCATAGCTGGGATATTTCTTCTGGTTCCCTGTGTGAAGGAGTAACTTTGTGACAAGTGAGCTGTATTATTGTACACCACAGTCTCCAGCATAGCTCCTCGGAATAAGCAACTGAGTTCAGTCAGAGACTCAAACAGCCTGTTGATTCTGCTGAGACGCACCTCAATCCATGGCTGCCCAGTATCTGTAGCAGCTTTGCTCTTCTGCAGAGTCTTACAGCAGCTTTCGTTTTTCTTTCCAGCGGCCAGCAGTGCCAGGAACATTTGGCCCTCTGCGGGGATCAGATCCAGCTAAACTGTACGGATCACCGCGAGTACCAGAACCCCACCCTGGAGATCCAGTTCAGCAGCACCAGCACTTTGCCATGCAGGTAAGAGCCTTGCTCTGAAATTCATGTGTACAATGTTCTAGCCTCTTAGAAGAAATAGAGTGGATCCAGAGAGCTGGGAGCCATGATCTGCCCTTCTGTACTCATGGTGTATGAGTCAGTGACTGCTGTATTCATTGGTTACAATGCCAAATGGCATCCTCTGCCTGGGGAGGGATCTGTCAAATGCTGTGAGTCACTGATTCTTTCCTGTCTCCTCCTGTTACTCTTTGTAGCTTTTCATGTGCCAGTAAGTGGTGACTCTTTCACTGAACCTGGCCTCTTTCTCTCCCTCCCACAGTCTACCGTCGGACTGAATGAACACAGAGGACACAGACTGGCTGCACCAGAGAAGCAGGTGTGTGCAGGGCCAACACATGTCTCTGCACTGGGGCCACGGCCTGGATCCCTGCAGTTTGGGCGGATGAGTGGCCCTCCCCCAGATGCCAGTATGTACCCCCCAGTGCAGTTCCAGCAAGGATTTATTCCTCCAAGGCACAATGGACCTCCAATGAGACCACCTGAGAGCTCAGAGGTCCCCCCAGGCCATATGTATAGACCATATAAATATCTAAATCGAGCGCATCCTGCTGCATGGAATGGAAGCCACAGTGCAACAAACCAGACCTCCCTGGGCCCAGACGAGAAGCCCCCGTTGAGCACAGGACCTTCTTTGCAGTCTCGTGCTCTTAGTCACATGATGGACCCTCGGGCAATAAGACCACCTCTTCCTCCCAGCCAGTGGACTGAGCAATCAAATTTCCTACCTCATGGGGTCCCTGCCTCAGGATACATCAGACCACCTGGTAAAGCCACCGGTCAGAGAATGCAGCAGCCTCCAGCCTCTGTGTTTGGGGGACCCCCTCAAGTTCAGAGAGGATGCCAAGGTGGGGATTCCATGATGGACAGTCCAGAAATGATCGCCATCCAGCAGCTGTCATCTCGCGTGTGCCCACCGGGTGTGCCTTACCACCCCCGTCAGCCTCCTCCCCCGCATCTGCCTGGCCCCTTCCCACAGCTGGCCCATGTCGCATCAGCAAATGTGCAGCCTCCGAAACCGGTCTTGGGTAACGGAAACTCTCAGGATGCCAGTCAGACAGTGGAGCCAGAAAGCAACCGAGGTAATTTTAATGCTGTTGGTCTGAAGAGGCCAGCAGTCACTGTCAGAGTTGTTTAACTTTTCATTTCCGTTTTTCTTTTCCACACCTTTCCCCCTCACTATTATACACGGTTTTACTCACTTTTGATAGACTGCCCACCTCACTGGTCAATGGCTGTTGTTGTTATTAAAGGAAAATTTCACTATTTTTCTATACCAAGCAGCTCAAGCCACTCTTTTCACCTACACCAAATTGAAATGGGATGGAGGAATGGTCGCATGTAATTATAATTTAGCATCTATGCATCTAGTACTGACAGCTGCTCTCTTGCTTGCAAGGTGATGTCATTTTGTGACAAAGTCAGTGTTGGAGCCCCATGCAGAGACTGTAAGCTAGATCCCAAACTACTTAGACTGGCTTAATATATTTTGATACATAGTTAAACACGTTAAATATTGGCTATACCAGCTTCTAAGCACCCAGATTTACTTAATTTTTTATATTTATATAATTAGAAATGCAAGAATTCAAAGAGAAATCTAAAATCATCAGACTATTATTAAAGCATAGACAATTTGTTTTTTGGTGTTTGGTTTTTATTAAATTTTACTTAATATCAGTTTAAATGAAGCAGCAAGAACTTCTAGGTTTTGGATTACAGATAGCTCTTTAAAGCTAAGTATCAGAAGGGTAGCTGTGTTAGTCTGAATCTGTAAAAAGCAACAGACGGTCCTGTGGCACCTTTAAGACTAACAGAAGTATTGGGAGCATAAGCTTTCATGGGTAAGAACCTCTCTTCTTCAGATGCAAGTCTTGCATCT